TAGAATTACATTTGAATTTGTAAATTTCATAAGTTTATGACATTTGTTTCATTTATTACAGAATTGTGTAATGGATATATTTGCCCATCCTTACAAATCTACATACCGAATGCGCGAAGCGCGCGAGGGAAAAACGCCGGCTAGTATTTCATAAAACAATGTATAGTTATTAAATTAGATAAATTAAATTATAGCAATTATTATATAAACATATAACTATAATAATAATAAATAATAATAAATAAGAACTATAATATTGTACTAAATATGATAAATGATAAATATAATAGAAACAATAAATTAAAAGATGAATTGCAGAAACTATTTCCACCAAAAATAGATTAATACGCGCATCAATTGTAAGCTTGTTTTGACTGATAATAGAGGTTAATGTAAGCACTCGTTTAGTAATGCGGAAATGACAACGCTTATTTTACTATAGCATTAGAAAATATTATCTGCTATTTGCGTGATATCGCACGTACGCGCGACACGCACACATGTTGCACTGTATGCAGTATTCACACATAATTACATACATAATCCACGTATCCAGAAATGAAATTTTCGATCGGATAGGAAGCAGGGAATAGATGGGAATAATTCTGAATTAAATTTTATAAAGCGACTGACAAGCTCATTCGATTGGAGGAATTCGAAACTGTCTTGCAGCCAAGTTTTATTGATACATCTCTCGAATGAGAGATAACGATAATTACTTACCATTACTACCAACTATCAATTTTATTTTTTTTCTCTTTTATGGCAGAGACGATGATGACGAAGATAAGGGCCACTATTGGCGTATGCTACTTTTGCGATATTGCAATCCCGCGATATTCGGCGAACTTATAAAACTTGCGTAATCAACCATGAGATTGCATGTGATCTTTTACGTCGAATTCCGTTTCGCCGCCGTTTACAAAAGCATATAGACTTTCCGCATATTTTCCTTTCTTTGTTCTGATTTCTATTGTGTTCTTTCTTTTCTTCTCATTTAAACAAGTTAAAAACTTTCGATCATGAAAAGTCACAAATTATTTCTTGTGAAGAAAACGATATTTTTTACTTTTGTTTTATTATAATGTTTTTAAATAATTTAATTTAAAATAAACTGGATAGACATATACGCCGCTGGCTATATAGAATGCGCCATTTTGTACGCACGGATCATGAGTTTATATTTCGCCAGCATAGCGAGAAGATATTTTATGTCGTTTCTTAACCGAGCAATCGATAAGGTTCATGAATCTATCCAAACCTTTCGATGAGGAGATAAATCTTTTTGATCTCTGACCGATTTTTTTCTTCCTTTCTTTCTCTCTCTTTCTCCATGTCTTTCTCTCCCTTTTTCTCCTTCTTTGTCCTCAATGCGCTACCAATCGTTTCTTATCTCACGGACGTGATCTATCGGTGGATCTCCGATGATACGTTCAAGTTTGCGCATACAGACTGTGCCAGGAACAAAGTAGAGCATCAAGATGCGGCAGCACGTGATTATCCGTATTTCAGCACCTCTTTTTCGAAAATTTCACAATGCATGCGCGCATCATTATTTCAGATTAACATCTCGCTTTTTATAATATTTATGATGTATCATATCGCGCAACATACGAATCTTTCCGAATTTTTCAATTCAACAACTTTACATAGTTTGTTGCTAGTCGAGAAATTTATTTCAATTGAATCTAATCAATTAGAAGCGATATTTTATGTAGTAACATTATTTATAGGATAATAATGATGAGAGAGAGAGGAGGGGGGGGGAGAGAAATCTGTGGCAATATTTACTTAAGTCGGATACGCTTTGGTATTGCGTAACTTGGGATATTGATCTTTTTAACGGAATATCCTGCAATTGACGACAAAGTTCAACGTCATGTACAATTTCTTTTAACAACTAAAGAGAGACTTAAAGAAGATAGGAATGAAATTTTCGCTGTGCCAAATACAAAGAGAGAGAAAGAGAGAGAGACGTCTTTTTCTCTTCGTGGAAAATTATATAAAGAGAAGACAAAAGATTCTACTTCGTAATAATGAATCTTATCATCGTTGTAAGCTTGCGTTACACAAGAAACGACTCAATTATTCCTGTTGTCTGAACGAAATATCTTAATTTATTGTGAGCTAAATAATTTTTTTTTTTTTAGAAATATCGGATTGAGTAATAAAAATAACACTTCTTCTTGCGAATAACAGAATAAACAGCATGTTATTTAAAATAAATACGTCTTGTGCAAAATTGCCATGTGCCGTTTAATTTGTTCGAGATTAGCCTAAAGTACATGTTCCAATACTTTCGAACACGGACTTGGGAATAGGAGGACGGAGCATAAGCTAAAAAGGGGGTTGGCACGTTCGTGGCGGGAGGGGGGGTTGCTATATTGTTGCTATATTGTTTTATATTTTCGTAGAATCTGTATATGTGAAATAAAAGGTTCAGGTCCAGTTACACCAATGTTGCGTAACTTTAATCTTAGCTTAACTTACTGTTTCGTATCGATAATATCAACAGATGTCGATGGTATAATATCAACAAAAATAGTACTTTTCCATATTAAGAACAAAATATTACATATTAATAAGATTAATATAACTTTTTACCTATGCAAACTAATTTTTATATTTTGTTTCAGTTTTTTAAAATTTTTTAAAATTTTCGTTTATTTGCTGCAGAATCTATAATTGGACATCCTTGCACTATGTATTTCACCATTTTTATTCACCATTTTTATATATACAAAAATAAATAGTGGAACATACATATTTTACTCTAACTTTTTATTTCGCTGCACTCACACAGCGACATGTAGGATGTCGCAGACACGTATCTATGTGTAAGATAGTGGGAAAGAATATGGCGAAGAGC